CCCACGAGTCTCTGCCACGGACAGACCCTCTCAAGGGTCCCCAGCTGCAGTGGTATGTCAGTGCCACCACGGCCTCCGTCCCGCAGGATCCAGGGCGGCAGCACGCCCACATCGGTGTCATGGTGGAGTTCAGCATCGCCCTGATGAGCAAGCTAGACGGCATCAATCGGCACTCCTTCAACTCCTTCCGCCTCCGAGTTGGTGAGGCCAGGGACCGGGGACGCTGCCCCAGCCTCCAGCAAGCCCGTCCCCAGCCTGTGTGGCATAGCCGCCTCACTGCCTCCTAGGGGGTTTTAGAAACCCCTCTGATCTGACCAGCCCAGCGGCTGGAGAATTGTGACCCTCTTTGCCTATGGCTTGTGGAGTTACTTTGGAAAGTTTAAAGAAAGTATATCACTACAGAAAGCAGCCGCATCACCAACTAAACAGGAGGCCTCAAAACATGGAGAACAAAGCAAAGCTATTGAACGGGACGGGCTGCAGTTAGCCAAAGGTTCTGTACGCCGAGCCTGTGTATTCACTGTAAAAAGGGACGTCCAAGCTGGGCACGGCGGCTCAAGCCTGGAATCCCAGCACTTTGGGAGGCCGAGGAGGGAGGATCGCTTGTGCCCAGGAGTTTGAGAGCAGTCTGGGCAACATGACAAGACCTTGTCTCTACAAAAATACAAAAATTAGCCAGGTTTGGTGGTGTGCTAGTAGTCCCAGCTACTTGGGAGGCTGAGGCGGGAGGATCACCTGAGCCCAGGGGGTCAAGGTTGTGGTGAGTCATGATTGTGCCACTGCACTCAAGCTGGGGCAACAGAGTGAGACCTTGACCGGAAAAAAAGGGGAAAAAAAAATTAGCAGATATAAGTGCTAGTGTGCTAACATCAAACCTAGCCTTCTTGTGTCCGAGTCTGAAAAAGACCCGGCCAGGGAATGTCCTTTGCACATCCCGGCTTAACCTCCCATGGCTGGCTGACTTTGGGCGCAGTCCCAGCTTCACCTTCGTTTGGTTTTGTTCCCCTTTCTGTGCTGGGGGATAGTCTGTGCTTTCCTGGGGGCAGAAGCCTGAAGCTCTGCCCTGCTGCCTTTACCTTCAGGCATAAACCACGGGCCTGTGATTGCTGGCGTGATCGGCGCCCGAAAGCCTCAGTATGACATCTGGGGAAACACGGTCAACGTTGCCAGCCGAATGGAGAGCACTGGGGAACTGGGGAAAATCCAGGTAAAGCCCATCAGGGAAGCACGTGACTGAGGGGAAGCTCTCCCAGAGGCGAGGGGCCTGGGGCTTAGGATCTGCTGGCCCAGCCAGTGGCCGGCTCCTGACTCTTGCGGTCACCTTCTTCAGGGAGGGCAGACACCTGGCTGCTCCCCAGCCCACCTGTCTCCCACAGGCCTTCTTTCTGTCTCCGAAGACCGAGATTATTCCTTTGCAGGTTACTGAGGAGACGTGTACCATCCTCCAGGGCCTGGGTTACTCTTGTGAATGCCGGGGCCTGATCAATGTCAAAGGCAAAGGCGAGCTGCGGACTTACTTCGTTTGCACAGACACTGCCAAGTGTCAAGGGCTGGGGCTGAACTGAGGGCTTCTGCTGGATCTGAACACGCTGGAAGCCCATTTTCCTTCCCAGGAGCAGCGAAGGAGAAAACTTGGCCCCACGCCGGCCACTAAAGGCCACGTGAGCCACAGCCCCTCCTGGCAGATGGCTGTGCTGGCTTCTGTGGGCTTGTGCAACAGGATCTCTCAAAGGCAGCACCGGGTCCCAGCCCGAGGCTACCGCTGAACTGTGACACCAGTGGCAGCCGGAACCTCTGTGCGCAGGGTCTGTGACAGCTTCCGGGCAGCTGGAAGAGGCTCCCTGGCACACCCTGTACCTGCGACTAAGGTTTCTGTTCTGGGAGGTGCTATAGGGGTGATGTTAGAGCGTGACCTAGCCAGATGTCCACCTCAGTGGCCTGTGGCTTGCAGTGAGACTCATTTCTCTAGATACAGAGGGGAACTGTGACGCGCTGTCTAGCACGGACTGGAGTCCCTTCTCCCTAGTGGGACTGGCTGCAGGAGCTACGCAGGCATTCTGGTGAATGGAGTTGTAAAGGGGGCTTGAAATCAGCAAATGCTTTCAAACAGCAGAGAAAACCTCAGTGCTTGTCTTTTGTGGCATGCGTTTTAAATGGATTGCGAGTGGGTTTTTGTCCTTTTCGACTCTTCAAACACTAGACAGAAGTCTCTTCCTTTCAGGACACTCTGTCTTTTAGCCACGGACATGTGAGAGGGCCTCTGCCCAGGGTCCAGCGTCGGGATCAGCCCGGCTGTGGGGCAGAGTTCTGTGAACTGATGCAGCAGGGCAGCCCTGGCTTGGAGTCAAGCGGCTCTAAGCCAGCACCTGGGGCTGAGTGCCTGGCATGGGTCTGGCCTTGGCCTCTCAGGTGTCCCGAACTCTCCCTGCCACCCTTCATCTGCCTCTTACTGTTTTACTGGAAAGGGATAGTCTGTATAGAGAACTTGGACCACTTTTCCTTTGGTCTTCGTAGCTAACTGGAAAGCCTCTGAACTGGAAGGATCTGCTCAGCATGAGTGTGCGTGGAGGTGCCCACCCTGGGAGGTCAGCCCTCTCACAGGTGCCCAGACGTTCTTGTTCCAAACCTGAATGCGTCAAGGCAAATGCAAAAGGCCAGGTGTGTGAGATGGTGTCTCACTGTGCTTCAGCCCCCCAGGAATCAAAAAAGGCACCCTGTTGCAAGGGAAGAAATAAGCAAGACTCCCATTCTGTTTCCTGAACTGACGCCATCACCAGAAGTTATAAACTGAGCGTCCCTGGGATTTCTAGTACAAGCGAGTCTCCCTGCAGGGCAGGGATTCTCAGCTAGAAGTCATCCCTGGTCCTGGGATGAAGTGCTCCCCTAGGTGAAGAGTACACAGCCAAGGGGGACAGAAAGGGAACCCATCTGCCCGTGCTGTGTGGCTTTATCAGCCCGAGGTCAGGGGCAGGCTTATTGTAACATGCACTGAAGTGTGAGGACCAGTGGCAGCACTGATGTGTCGCCTGTAACTGGAATCATGACATAAGGACTTGCTGCAGAAAGGAATTTTATGGCGACAGTGCTGGTAAGGGAAATCGGCCTAGCTTCAGTTGCCTCTTTTGCACACCAACTTTTCATACAAAGGGCTGCCTTCAGGTGAATACTGAAATCTGTGCTCTTAAAATCTAGCAGTGACCAGGCTTGCCCAGTGGGGACTGTCCTGGGAAGCCGGGAAAGCTTGTGTTGCTAATATTAATGTAGAAACACATCAGCGCACTAGGCCTGAGATCAGTATATTTCTACTTTTGTAATATTTATGCTTTTTCTTCAGGAACAGAAGTTCTGGTTGGGAGTTTTAAAAATAATTTGTTACCATTCATGTATTTTTATTTCCAATTAAAGCGCTGTGCTAAGACTATAAGTTTTTAGTTTTCAATGTTCAGGTCATAGAATATAACTGACCTTAAAAACCACCTGCAGTTTTAAAAAATGTTTTCAAATCACCAAGTAGTTTCTTCACAGGTGTCATTTTGTTTTGTGACAGAAACAAGTCTCTTTCCTAACAGTGGGTCAAGGACTTCCTTCAAGTTCCTCCTAAAGTGGCCTCACTGACTGGCAAGAATACCTGAGGTGTCTGGTTTACTTATTAAGGAAATTTCCTAAAAGAAAAGATCATTAATCACTGTATACTTTGTGTATGTAAAGGTCAATGTACAGAAATATGCTTTCAGATGGTACATGCAAGGTTTATTCTGTGTATTGAATATTTATAGATCTGTAATATTTGTTTCAAGATGCTGTTTCATTTTTATAAAGTACTAGTACACCCTAATTTTTATACATTAAATTAGCAATTTGGAAAACTGGAATGTTCTAAGGTGTTTTGAATTTAAATATTTTCTTGTCTTCAGGAACTGGCCTTAGCCAAGTGCATCTAAAGTTTAAGAATTGGTTACTGCCTAATTATATTTAAAGACTGAAAGCAGACTCTAACAAGACTTGATAAAAACACATTTTATCTAATTTTCTTATTCCTTCAGCATAAGACTTTAAGTAGGTTTGAAGAGACTGGGTCATCTGTAAGTCTCCTGAAACATCGATTCTTCATCAACATTCTACTTGTTCTTCCTAAATGTCAATTTCGAAAGTCAAGAAAATAAACTGGCTGCTTCTCGCCAAGCTGTTTTACAGAAGGACTCTGTATAAGGGTCTTCAAACTTTGTTCACTCACCTGGGCTACATCCATCTTGAATTCTCTCTCTTGCTATTCTGAACAGGTTCTACGCTGAACCAGGAATGGTGATTAGGAAAATCACCATTCACCTCAGCCTAGTGACTGGGGATAGAAGGGACCACACGTCTGCCTCATGGCCGCCCACTTAAATAATTAAACTGCTGGGGCACTTGGCCTTTCAGATAAAAAATAGTAAACAGCAATGCAGACTTTCATTTAAGCTTGGTAATCTCTGATATATTCAAGGATGATTTAGACTACCTTATTTGGTTTATCACTTTGCTACAATTCCAAGTAACTCTTTAAAAAATGGAAAAACAGAACATTGGACATGTTACCGTGCTATAACAATTTGCTTTTCGGGGGTGGGGGAGGACCCTAACGGCCTCACACAGAGCCAACACTTCCATCAGGTATGTCATGGGGGCAGAGCCAGAACTGTGCGTCCTAAAGTTATTTCAAGTGTATAACGCTGGGGTCATTTAAAGAAGTCTTTTAATTGCCGTCCTGTCTGCTGAGACAGAAAGCAGCACCAACACTGTTCTGAAAGAACACCGCCTGGGTGTGGACAGCCCCATGCCCTACCCCTTCCTTACAAGGGCCACTTTTAATCAAGTCAAGGCGATCCAGTAAATTCAGAACCAGTCAGCTGGCATTTCCTTAACGAGGAGAGTGGCAAAGGCGGAGAACAGCGATCTGGGGGTCTGCTTCGCTTTTCAGCCCATCGGTTCATCCCAGATTCAGTCCAGGAAAGGTCAAGGTAACTGCCGATACATCGGTACTCCTCTCAGGGTCCCAGGTTCGGCTTTGTTACCTACCAGAAGCCCAATCTCTGGAGCATTAAAATGAACTGTTCCAAAGCTTAATTAAAAACACAATTTACAAATATTTAATATATTTTGAAAAGCATTTCCAAGTTAAGAATGAGAAAATATGTACATAAATATATAATCAAATAACAGTCGGCCTCAAATCCCATCAGGTCCACATTCAGCAACATCAATCTTTTCAGGTTCTTCAAAATCTGAAAGAAAAGACACCATTCAGTATTTTTCCCCCTTTTCATTAAACAAGGGAAGTGAAGGGAAAGCTACCATCCAGAATGACAGCCCTTCTTTGTCACATCCAAGCTTAAAAACTAGGTGCATTAGATCATCACTGTAGCTTTTCTGACAAATGTTGGAAATCTTTATTAATTCTTTGGATGACATGGAAAGAAAATGGAAAGTAGTTTTATACACTAAAAACAAAGAGACAAAACCTTTCAAATGTTATCTGAAGGAAGAGAACGGATCTTCCTTTTACAGTCAGCACTCTATATCTGCAGTTCCACATGTGCAAGATTCAACTAACCGTGGATTGAAAATATTTGGGAAAAACACAAAACAATATACCAATGAAAAAGTGATACCAGTTGGGCGTGGTGGATCACACCTGTAATTCCAGCACTTTGGGAGGCTGAGGGTGACAGGGCTGCCTGAGCCCAAGGGTTTGAGATCCAGCCTGGGCAACTTGGTGAGACCTTATCTCTACAATAAACAAAAAATTACTTGGTTGTGGTGACATGTGCCTGTAGTTCCAGCTACTTGGAAGGCTGAGGCAGAAAGATAGCCTGAGCCCAGCAGGTTGAGGCTGCAGTAGCCATGACTGTGACACTGCACTGCACAGCCTGGGTGAGAGTGAGACTCTGATTCAAAAACAAAACAAGACCCCCAAAACACCATATAACAAGAATTTACACAGCATTTACATTGTATTACAGTGTTATAAGTAATCTAGAGATGATTCAGAGTGCACGGAGGATATGCGTAGGTTCTATGCAAATACTACTCCACTTTGTACTGGGGACTTGAGCATTCACGAATTTTGGTATTCTCGTGGGTAGTCTAGAACCAGACCCTGGCAGATACTAAGGGACGACTGTACTCACAATAGTTTTCCACTCTCCCACAGAAATAGGGCACGTACCTTCTGTTAAGTCTACAAGGCCGTTTTCTACGACGGGGGAAGGAATGGAAATCCCCATTGCTTTTCGAACTCCATATGTGCTTACAATATCACCTGGAGTTACTTGCTGTGCAAGTTCTTTAAGATTATTGGTTACTTGTTCAGCTGAAAAGAAAAAAAGTTCCAGGTTTTGAAAAGCGGTTCCTTTAGGTAACTTTAAAAAACCCAAAAGAACAGTAAATGTATAAATGCCAAAAATAAACTGCTGATGGTCTTCATTTCAGCATTCCTTTACAGTAGCATTACCACTGTACTCAGTTTTTTTCCTGTAAGTGTCCCCTGACTCTCCTTTCACTGAAGGTGCAACATACCAAGATGCATTTCTCTATACGAAGGACCCAAGAGACAGATCATATTGGGAGGGGGTCTGGTGCTCAGACGCTCATTCTGGGCTTCCTGGA